CCAGAAGCTTTGCCCCACCAGGACAACCCCCATACGTGTCCACTTTATATACATGTTCAGAAGGCTTTCCGTCAGTGGTTGTACAGGGCAAGGGAATCTAAAGGATCGTTGGACATACCCGACGTCCCAGGAGCTACAGCCTGAGACTGCTTGGCAAGAAGCCAAGAATCCAAAGGACTGGAGATTCAGCCAAGAGTTGAAATGAGTATTTTTGTATGTATATATATATTTATACTTCATATATATATAACCCGACTATGCATGTATATATACTCGAAGTATGTATATATATATATGTATACCATGTTATTTACACAAGACTGTTCACCAGGACTTTGAGGAAGCAATGTTGGGCGTCAAGAGGAACACCAAGGGTAACATATTGTGCATGTTCGTCCAGCAGCAGTTTGCGCTGAAGTTTTTGGATGCAGAGCCTCACCGCAAGGTTGCGGAGATAAGGTCGAAACCCGTGAAGTTTCTCATACCCGGGGACAGGCTATGCTTGGCCACTGGAAGCCATCTCCCAGGACAAAGGCAAGCCCTTGGTGTCTTGGAGTTCAAGGGCCAAATGCAAATCCAGCTGAGCTTGATGTCCAAGTATTTTGCGCTTCACCAGGTGCCTGCTGAGGAGGCAAATGCGCTTTCCTCCAAATGGAACGTCGATTCTGTTTGGTTGTGGAATTTGGAGCTCTGTCACGCATTTGACCAACCATTGGTCTATGAGACTCCACGTGGCAGTGAACTTTGGCATTATGTGGATCCCAAGAGTTTTTTTGCTACCCAACCGTGATGTGAAGGACAGACATTCCTTGGAATGTGTGTGGGTGTTGTTGCTGCATGTTTCATCCCAATCTCTTACATGACCTGCTTGGCTGGGACATGAGAACCAAATGACTAGGGTAAAAGGCTTCACCAGAAGAAACAGTAAAGGGATACTGTAAGGAGACCCACCAAATCTGCTTATATACTGGGTATTAGGTATGGTGTGCGGAACGGTATACAAAGGCCCGTTTAGGGGCTTCACCAAGGACACAGGAGGGCGACCTGGAAGAACTAGGGAGAGGGCAATGGGGAGACTCAGCCAGGGTAAGTGAATGTGACTCGGACTGGGTATTCGGAATACATATATATATATATACACATACAAACATACATACATGAATTCCACAGAGTTAGAATGATAGTCCATAAACCCTTCCAGTCCTGGCAGGACAGTTCTGATGAAGCACCACCTCCACTTCAGCATGGAGACAGTTACCCCTCCACGGAAAGCTTCACAAGCCCAGCAGGATCAAACACCTATAAGCGGGTATTGTCTCAGAATGACTTGTCAGACTCAACCTTCGCACCAGTGAAGAAGTTGCGGTCCAGCACAGAGAGTGACCAGGCAGAGAAGCAAAGTGATGACATGAATACCAGCGATGACAACAACTCGATTGACCAGGATGCAGATTGCAATACCATGGCCTCAAATGAGAAGTTTGCCTGTTTAGTGCTGACTGACCGTGAATGGTCTTGCGTATGCCAAGATTCTGCATCTGTGTTGAGGCATTACAGCACAAAGTTCCTGACCGTGATGGTTCTGGTGCGTGACACGAAAGGATATAGTCTGGTTGGCAGAGTCAAAATAGGTCACTGTGTAGAAGTCCCTCCTATGCCTGGAAACAGGCCCACCCAAGCTTTTGCGCAGCAATGGAGCAAGCTGTACACCAGAAACTGCCTCACTGCTTTTTTGTCCAACAAAAAAGTGTGGAAGTGGACTTTCTCGGAAGTCGATATTTTCACAGAAAGAACTTCAGTGTGGTGGGTTCCCAGTCGTTGCCCAAATAGAATATTCCAGCTGTCAGGGCATCTTCTAAATCCTGCGAGGGCATGCGCGTGTCCTTCGAGATTGAGTTTGGCCGAGACCGCCAAGTATTTCATGTCACGCTGCACGGATGCTCAACAGGACTCCTTGGTGAAAATGGTTGACAAGCTCAACGGGAAATGCATACGCGTGGGAACCACATGCAGCGGGAGTGACATTGTGGTGGCCGTGGTGAAGCAGCTGGCAGACTGTTTTCGCTCGGAGAAGGCCGTGCTAGATGAAACAAGAATGCATTCTAACTGTCTGTGTGCGTCCATGTGTGACTGTGTAGCCATATGTATATATATATATACTATATATATATGTGTGTATATATATATATACTAGCCTTAAGTCGACTCAGCTTATGTAAAATCGAGCCCTTCCAGGACTGTTCCATTCAGATCATCCACGTGTTTTCATGCGAATCCGACGCAACCAAAAGGGACCTAATTCTACAGCAAGGAACTGGGATGGAGCACTGCTTCGACGATGTTCGAGTATTCTCCGCGAAGCGCGGGTACTGCTACGTTTGTGACCGTGAACACTCTATTGATCGTCAGACCTGTGCAATAGATGTATTGTACTGTGGGCCATCATGTAAAGACATCAGCAAGTTGAACAATGGCCGTGGGAACTTCTATGGATGCTACCAAGGAAAAGATGAGACGGAGGATCAATGTGAGGATGCTTCGGGGACTAGTGGTCCAACGTACAAACATGGTTTCAAGAATGTGCCTTAGCATCGTTCAGTCCTCAATTCTAGGCATTTTAATGTGTATATATATATATAGCTATATACAATGCGCATGATGCGCGGGTTTTGTGGGTTTTGGAGGCATTCTAACTCAGTGTGTTTCTGGTATTTCTTGATGGCCAATGGATCAGGTGATTGCCAATCTGACTCCCGCATTTGGAATCTATGAAAATGTGAGAGCAGCAACAGAAATGTCATATCCTCCAGACCGGGCTCCCATTGACGCTCCTGTCACGCAAGTGCGCAAGGATCTTTTGGAGCTGGGGTACCACTTTGTTGCCTGCTTTCAGTTAGCTATGTGCGAAGATTGTCCATTGTTTTTTTTGGGCTGGAGTGGGAGCAGTTTTTGTTTGTATTCTGCAACATTCTAACTGTGATTTTTGCAAATCAACTATGTATTCTTACTGCTTATATTCTGCGACAGTTAGAATGTTGCAAATCAGTTATATAGTTTTTTTTTGGGGGGGGAAGAGTTGAAATCAGTCTCTCTTCCATTGAAACTGTATGATCATCTGTGGCCCAAGGTCTATGACACCCTGGATTCACAGGATTTTTTGTTGCCACAAAGACGGCACAGAGTGTGGGGGGATTGCTTCTGTCATCACAGGCAAAGACACGCTTGAGGACTTGGAACAGCGGTACAAACTGTGCCTGGCTTCAATGCGAAGCAATGCACAGCTACCCATGGAACTGAACTTTCCACCGGCACCAAAGCAGCCTATACAGGCTGGCCGGCAGCAAAAGTTGCTGGCAAAAGCCAAGGAACTGAGACCTACCTCAAAAAACCTGTTCTTAGACTGCAGCTCATCCTTGAAGCGTATTGCATTTGCAGATGGAGTGTGCCCATGTATCACTCCGACGCATCCGATATACAGCCAAGCCATGGAACGCTACCTGAATAGTCAAGACATCCTCAACGGGCAGGGATTGTGGCGATCATGCTACAATGATGCCGTCTATGATCAAATGCTCGAGAAATGTGCTGAAAGCCTGTCAGGGAATTCCTTCTCGTCGACTGTGGTGCAGGCAGTGTCCCTGGCTTGTTTCATTAGTTGCCCGAGTTCTTGGGATACAGTTCTCTCTTCTCAGAAGCTAGTGAAACCAGATCAAGGGGCAGGAATTCTACGCCGGCTGAAACGGAAACAGCCAGCACCAGAATATGATCACTGCCGTCCACGTTTGTTGAAGGAGCAGCAGCCGCCACTGGAACATGGTCGCGGTAAGGTCATTGGTGCTGACACCAAGAAGCAGATGGTCCGAGTCAAAAAAAGGTTGTTCAAGCGAAAGAATCCAGACATGGACAGCAGAAAGTTCAACAAGGGCAAGAAAGCTTGCAGTAGCATTTGGCAAAAGGAACAAGTGTCATGTCCTTAGTGAGTTGACCGAGCAAATTGGAATTGTAGGTTTGCGTGTTGCTTTATTTTGTGGCATATTGACGCATTCTAAAATGCAGCATTCTAACTCTGTGAGTAGAAGACCTTCTTCTTCCTCGAGCACAAGCACAGACCAATGTTGGCAGGTGTATATCCATTTGTGTACAGTATGTGCAGTATATATATAGGATGTGAAAAACATCTATATAAGTCCTAAGGATGGTCGCATGGAACCGCGCCAAAGAAGACAAGACCATAGACAATCCGCAGCTATATGTCGAGAATCTGAAGTTGCCTGGATATTACCGCTGCTGTCTATACAAGTGGAAAAAGAGTCGGGAAATGCAGCAGTGGACGGTGCTATGTTCCACTGCTCCCAGATTGATGCAACGTTGCAAGGAGGTGCCGAACAACTTGAGGAAGGTATTGGGCCTTCCCAAGAAGTTCTTGCAGCGACGGAGCACGGAAAGCAACGAACTCTCGGCAATCATGCCTTCTGCTTTGGAGACAGCGGTGACTGACATCCTGGCTTCTTGAACTTTATTGTACACTGGACTCCCTGTTGGGTGAATCCTGCTTCCTTATGTGTAGATATATATATATGGAGTGTATAGTTTTTTGCTTCAACCACCCACATTCTAACTTTATTGCTGTTTGGACAGATGCAAGGCTGAAAGGGCTGAGCGGGGAGAAGAGATCAACTATCACTTTGTGGCTGATGTTCTTAAGATTGGCATCGAACAGTACAACCACGCAGTGATCAAGCTCAAGGAAGAGTTGGCAGATCCCGTGAAGCTCCTTGCAATGCTTGAAGACCATGTGCAGAATTTGCCTGAGGGAGCCAGCGAAGAATGCATCAATAAAGAGCTTGGCAAAGCCCGTGACAGAATCTGCTCTCGGCTCACAGAGATTGGTTGGCGTGAGAGCAGTGGAAACTTTGTGAGCCTGGACTACAAAGCTATAAATATATATATAGTTTGTGTATGTTTGTTTCTTTCACTTCTCCCTTTCCACGGGTTCCCTAGGACTCTATATATATATACAGTATATTCATATCTATATATATAGTGTACAATGTTTGTGACATTCTAACTGTTAACTTTTGGTCGATACCATGCTGAAAATCAAATAAGGAAACATGCACAAAGAATCTGCCGGAGGGCAGGGCTGCTCTTGGCAGCCAATACAAAGCCGGGGCGTCATCTCGATTTTGACCATCCAGCTATGGTGAGGGTCAGAACATGGATTGGTTGCAAAGTGGCCCAGGGCGAATTTCACGAGAGAATGATCGCAAATTTCGATCAGGTGTGGAGTCTCCTTTTCCGACCGGCAGCCCGAAACCTGATGCCCAAGGCAAATGTAGATCCAGATGCCAAACAAAGATCTTTTCGACACATACGCCATTGTCTGGAGCGGACACTGGGTTTGCCATATACTGAATCATTTGACAAGGACAAACCTGAGCCTGTCAAGGAATCGACAATAACGGGATCTGCCGCGGCAAACGTTGCAATCGAAGGGTGGCGAATACCGAGAACGCTTTGTACGCTGAGTTGGGCAGACGGCAGTGTGGGCAGGGGCTTTATCACGGTCCGAGAAGGCTGCATGAGCCAAGCTGATCGAACAAAAGCCAACCAAGAGCTGAAGCGTTGGATCTATGTAGGCCCTCTCCAACAGAAGACCCACATCTGGTCTGGAACCACGATGCAGCGATACCTCTCCTTTTTGGCAGAGGAGATAAGAGAGAGGAGGCGGAGGTTGTCTCTGGACCATTCGGCTAGGTGTTTGGTCATCTGCGACCAGGCCACTCAACATTCCAGTTCAAAGTGGCGCAATCTGAGAGAAGCGTGGTGTCGACAACACAATTGTGCACCCTGGCAAGAAAAAATACATTTTATATCATCACTTCAACCAATTACAAGCAGAATGGTGGACCCGCGAAGATGTAAACCTGCGAAGAGCTTCAAAGTCGAAAAGTCGGTTAGGACAGCTTTTATATAAAATCCTCTACTAAACTCATTCAAAAGTTAAACAAAAAACTCCAGATCGAAGGGTCGCCTTCATTTTCCATGTATATACAAAAGCCCTTTATATAGTGAAATATATAATGATTATATGTTAATTATATATATAGACTGTATATATACTTTTGAAACATTTTTTTCAGGCTGACGTTCTGTTTCTCTGCGACACATTCTAACTGTTGCGCATTTGTCTATTTGACAGGTCATTCTGAGTGGCGATGGCGTAGATGAGTGTTCCATACCTGGTGGCTTCGGTGCGGCAGGTGCACCCAACGACGGGTGGCACCAGCATGTTCATGCGCTGGTGCACTCGTATTGCAAAACTGCTGTGGAATGGAGTGATTCATTGGATCTACGTCGAGAGCTAGACAAGCTCCAGCTGTCCGTGCAGTCCTCTGTGACAACAAAGTTTCACAGATATGCCGAGTCAGTTTACTCTTGATATCCTTATACTTATATATATATAATATATATGTGTTCTTTTGGTTTCCACTATTTGCACAACATTGGAAAGAACAAGGAACTTCTATATAAAGGACTCCATAATAATGTGCACAGCCAAGGTCCTCGGTGCTGACATCTATTCGAGGCGATGCATATGCATTGGAATCGCTGAATTCCTTTAAGTGGCTTTCCTAAAACAAATTGGAGAAAGGAATAGAGACAAGAGCAAATACTGTGGTGATTTGGTGTGAGGTGTGTAATGAGGGACATTCTACACACTGTCTTTTATTTTTGATGGGATTCTGAGTGAACCATGAGGCCTGTGTGAGGGGTACCCTTTGTGAGCTTGAAACCTGAAGATTTTGATAGAGTTTAATAAGGGAAATCATAAGACTTTTGTGCTATCAATATAGATAGTTTTTAAGGATTGTGAGGACATTGGCAACTCAGGTCCGGCAGATTGGTGTGGTATGCTTGGCTCAGCAGAGGACTCGTGACCAAAGAGCAAATAGCCAAGTGGCACTTTGAAGGCTTCCCGGAGACTGTAAATTGCATCTTTTTTGGTACCCACTCTTGGTTGGTTGAAACATGTATATATATATATATATACGATATATATATATATATATCTCACTGTTTTTGACGGGCTTGTGGGCTACATTCTATCTGTGCAAGGTGACCTCAAAAGACTGGAGGACGAGCTCAAAAGATGCCGCGGCTGCATGGATCAACTTCTTAGGATCAGCAAGGTTCCTGAGATGAACACCACGGAAGAGGAAGCTGCTACATTAGACATGCTCCGGTCTACCCCCATGAAAGATGAAAGGCAAGTGCTTTGGGCGATTCAAGACGGAGACGATGTGGCCACCAGACAGTCACTGCCATCATGGATGTGGCCAGCCATAGAAGAAAAAGTGGTCGGCTGGGTGCAGGAGAAGCAGAATTGGAACCACAAGATTGCAGCCCGCCATGCAGTTGACAAGGAGTTGACACCTGCGCAGCAAAGTGCCTATGATCAGTTTGTGGCTCAAAGAAGTGAGTGCGCACTATTATTCAGCATGACCAAGCAAGCCCTGGTGACCCGTGTGAGAAGTAATGCGGACTTGGACAAACTTCGAGCCGAGTGCTTCTCAATAGTGATTTTGCTTTCATCGGAACCAGAGAAATTGCTGATCAAAACAGGCCATGGAGATCAGAAGCGTTTGCTTCTTTTGCAAGGTGAGCCAACTACTACAGAGGTGGTGCCTGATTGCCTTGCGTCTGGAGGAATATCTGGCTCCTTTGAGGCATTTGCCAAGCGTCAAGAAGACGGTGACAATGAAGAGGAGGAAGATGACGGCCAGCAAGAAGATGTTGGTGCACTTCAAGAGCAAATGGTTCTAGAGGCTGGGGAGGCCGATGCTCTACAGATTCTGGCATTTAGCGATGAGGAAGAGGATTTGAAAGACTTGGTTCTGACAAATCTGTCGGGCAGCAAGCCAGCCATTCAGCGAGTGAAGGACTTTGCTTCTCGCGAAGCTTACACCTACTTCGAAAAGGATAACCTGACCCAGATCCCGCCAAATTCCTGCATCGGCTATCACAAGACGACCAGGACATGGCAGGGATACTTTGAGAGGTCCAGTGTTGGCCTTACTTTCACACATGGTGGAAGCACTTCACGGAGCGAGAAGGAAGCGCTCCTAGCCGTGCTGGTCGGTTTGGCACAAAAGCATTGCGACAAATATACAAGGGATCGTTTGTGGGCATCTCAGTTGGAGAAACTGAAGAAAGTGAGTTCAACGCAGGCTGTGCTTTGATTGATGTCTGTTTGCACGCAGTACTAGGGCCCTTTATGTACTCAAATCTATATATATATATATGTTTGTGTTTTCCGTCAGCGTTGATGCCACATTCTTACTGTATGTATTTTTTTGCTCTGTGCCTTGGTGCTGGCAATGCCACGAATTTGACTGACAGCGGCCAAGATGAAGTCCGGCTCGCAACTTGTTCAATCAATATACTAGTAACAAGAAGCCACATTCTTACTGTATGTATTTTTTTGCTCTGTGCCTTGGTGCTGGCAATTTGACTGACAGCAGCCAAGATGAAGTCTGGCACGCAACTTGTTCAATCAATATACTAGTAACAAGAAGCCACATTCGTACTGTATGTTTTTTTTTGCTCTGTGCCTTGGTGGAATCACATTCCTACTGCCCCCTTTCCTGAGCTTTTGCTTTCAAACAGTCAGTATGGTTGTAGTGCCCCAAGACTGTGCCTTGGCCTGATGATCCAGAATTCGTCACGTGCTTCGAAGGGGGTTGTGCCACAGAGGCAATCCAGTGAAGCGTTGTTGTGATAGGTTTTGCATAGAAAGTGAAATGCATCTGTCTATTCTCCCTCACGATTTGCACATGAGGCAGGGTATGGGTGAAAACATATCCCATTGATCCAGCTGCCGTTGCAAGAAGCGTACAGTACAGCTCGGGAGGGGAAAACATGGTCCGATGCTGCCTTTTGAGTGTGAATTACATAGGAATCAGGTATGCAGAGTGAGGTATATATATATATATGCATTTATCTTGTCTTATATAATGTATTTATTGGATATTTGAGCTTTTGAGGTCATCCTGTAGTCTCTTCCGATAGACTGGAACTTTGAATGTTCTAAAGCTACATTCTAACTGTGGGTCCGGGCCCCCCCGGGTCCGAGAGCTGCTAACTGTGGATGCCAAAATTTTGGAAACGGGAACCACATTCTAAGTTCCAGTCCGTCGGTATAAATGCCGCTGCCAGAACAGGGGACCACCAGAGTGCGTATTTTATGTGTTTTTGCTGCCTACTTCCATCTATGTGCTATAAACTTCCCACTGTGGCCTGCATTCATGCTATGTGTCTGTGAAAGCTGCCTCAATGTCCTTTGCACTGGAAAACAAACACAAACAGTCTCGAGAAAATAGAGAGAAAACCAATAACAACCTAGGAAAAGCCAAAAAACCTTGGGAAAACAAAAAACAAAAGAACAAAAACACAAAAACACCAAAAACAACAATTCTCAGAGACTCTTGGCTGGACCCCCCCCTTTCCTCAAGACTTCCCCAGATGGTGTTTTGTTTTTTTGGTTCGTTTGTTTTTTGTCTTCCCAAGGTTTTTTTGTTTTCCTATTTAGGTCAATCTGTGTTCTTACTATTTCGTTCAACCTTCAAGTATGTGAGCCTAAGTCTCACCTAAACACATCTTCTTTGCTCTTACAATGAAAGCGTCTGAGCCCACCACTCCCTTTGTCCTTGTCGAAATCTCCATGTACAAGTCTGTGCATTAACTTCTGATTGTATCAATGTGGTTGCCAATTGCATGTCCAATCAGCTTGACATGAAACTGTAATGATACCTTCCAATTTACATGCAATTGTTATGAATCTGTGTAAGCTGTAGTTCTAATTTAGTGCTTGTTGCTTTTGCTTCGGCTTTGTAATTTCGAAGCCTCCTCGACTTGTGCATCTTGTAGCTCAAGCGTTTTACATCTTATTCTGGCGAACTTCTAATTTTAATTCCAATTCCTTTCTAATTCAACTCTCATCTAATTTTAAATAGGTTATAGTTATAGTTCAATACAGGTTTAGTTGAAATTCGGTTTTAATTCAGTTCTATCTTAGCTCTAACTCAAATCCAATTTAATTCTACCTAATTCTATTCTAGCTCTAGTCTATTTAATTTAAGAAAACACAGGCTACAAAACCCCGTGTTTTACAGTATTTTTTTGTCCTGGGAGTGCTGGGAACAATACTAAAACTCTTTTTTGAAGTAAATAGTTAGATTTTGTTTATTTACAGTAATCACTGGAAATAATATGAACATATTAAACTTGTTTTATGTACAAGCTTCTAATTCAAGAGCTTCCCTCTAGATCTCTGTGGATGATCATTTCTACAATAAAAATACATAAAAGCTTTCATTTCAAAAGCTTTCGTCTGGATCTCTGGAAATGATCATGTCAATTTAAACATGCTATATATAAATAAATATGTTTTTCTTTCAAGAGCTTTCATTTCATGAAAACACACATATATGGGATATCTACTTTCCCAGAGATCCAGAGGAAAACTTTGAAAATGCAAGCTCTTACCCGCAGAAATCTAGAATAAAGCTTTTAACATACAAGGTTTCTATACAGTTGTTTAAATCTAAAAATGATTATCTGCAGAGATCTATAGAGAATCTTGTGTAACATAAACGCGTCTATATAAACTCGTTCCAAATCTAAACATAATTATAAACATGGATCTAGAGACTTTTTTATGGCCTGCTTCGTTCCTAATTATTTTGTTCAAAACCATCTGAATGACTGCTTGCTGCTTCCAAAACAATAAAATGACCCTGATTCAGGAACACATAATATATTTGTTCATATGGAGAGAGCAGGAACAGATTATATATATATGTTTATATGGAGAGGGGCTACCACTGAAGCATTTACCTAAAATTTTGGGAAAACCAAAACCCAGGCCCCATGTTAGAGTAGAGTGGTATCTTCTGCCCTGGAGTGAAAACAAGCATCTTGGCATATCTTGAGCATCAAATGATACCAAACACTAGTTTAAAAAAAAAAAAAAACAATTAAAAAACTGCACTCTCACAGTCCCCCGCTCACATAAATTATTCATATATTCAATTAGTATTGATGGAAGAAGCTTCCACCATCTCTGCAGCTGAGGATCTTTGTGCTTCATAGAACTGCCACAGGGCTCGAGACCTGAGAAAAAGCTTTCAGAGCTGAGCCAGCACATGATATGATGAGGGATGCTCCACATCAATAGTTCCTCCAAACTGATATTGGTTTCCATGCCCCCAATTGTACAAATCAGTCAGTGATCCAACCTCGATCCAATGTATTGGATGTTGACGTTGAGCAAATGGATTCATTCTTAGAATCAACACAATCAAAAAGAACAGTGTACAGTAAATATGAATGCGATTGACACTGAATTACAGGAATTGGCAGTGTCCAAATGTCCTCTGCCCAAACAACACCTTCCCACACTCCAGCCTCTGCACCGAACATACACAAAAGCAACTCCCCACTTGGGTGCAGCTCCCAAATCATCGTCCCCCCAAGAAGGGTCCCTAAGTCCACATACATAGACGCACAGTAATCTTTGTGGCGCTAACATCTGCTTCTAGTGAACCCTCCCCCCAAATCCAGCATTCCTCCCTTGCACTGCAGCCAACCCTGGCACCCACTGCTTCAACCAAGCCGCCACTGCTGCGCTTGGCCACAGCGCTGGATAGCCTTGGTGACTTCCACCAAGCGCCGCAGAACGGAGCCGCGGACTCCGCGGCCGGACCTGACAGCAATCTGGTGAGAGTGGTTGGATGGTTGGTTGATGTTGGTTGGGTGGGTCAATTGATTTGTGTGATTGAAAGTTTGGTTGGTTCCAAATCAGGTCCCTCTTGAATAGGACATCTGTTAGTCTGTTGAAAGGGGTACCTTCCCTCTACAGGGTTCTAAGATGATCTCAAATGTCAAAACCCTGAATTGTATGCCACCAGTGATAGGCTCACTCAAATGATTGTATGTTGGGTCCAAGACCGAACCACAATCGCCAGCTGAGGAGTTGCCCAAAGGCCCCGAAAACATTCTTCCCACATCTCCAAAGGATTAACAATGATTAACACCTTGCAGGTTTGGTGGCAAAATAACAGCGATGGTGGAGGATGTCAGGACATCCCGAGCGCATCATTTATTCAATGTTCGTTGGCCGATCGGGAAGCTTCTCGGACTGGCTGGGGTGCCGAGCATAGCTCCCCAACAGCCATGGCTGCCATGCAACAAGCAGCGAGTGCAGATTCTAGTTCAAGAAAAGTGTGTATGATTCATCGCATTGCCATTGTTTGGGTGATTGACCCCATGATATCTCAGCCGTCTTTCAGAAGTTCCAAACATTCTGGACATGTTCAATTTGTGGCAGTTTTTGATGGTCTGTCTGATGCTTGAATGCCAGGGGGCATTTGAAGACCTCAAATCAAAAAGCCCATAGATCTTTCAGAAGAGGTGAACATATCATATCCTTGCAAGGTAGGAGACTGGTGTGAGAAGAGCAAGGTTGGCAAACAGGTGCCAGCGTGGGCCAGCCTGTTTTGGCAACTGTGCACAGACTTTGCGGTTGGAGAGCAAGTTAAAAAAATAAAACTTAAAAAAAAAAAAAACATTTATGATATGTCTCCAGTGACAAAAGTATTAACATTTTGTAGTAAAAGATGTTAAAGTAGTGTCATCCAGTCAAGCAGGACTGAAAAACTGTTGGAGGTCTTTGCGCTGGCCAAATCTGAGATCTCTCCACCCCAATGGCGCCGCAACTTGATGCTTTTTCATCCACGGCAATCACGTCGATGTCGCCTTAGTCTTCTCACTTGCCACTCATCCTTGCAGTCCGGTCCTGGAGGCCACCGCCGATGGAACACCAGGCCGCTACGGCAGGCTCTCTCGGGTCACCGGCATGAAACGGTTGGGACTCCCTTGGGACCGGAGGATCCAATGGTGGGAGGACTGGGCCAGTGCGAAGTCAAGTCAGTGGCCAGTCATGCCCCACTCACAAGACTTTCGGCAATCTTCCAACATCTGTGGGAACGTCCCACCCTCTCACTCTCTTGCTAAGGTGTTGTGGAAAAAAACATCCAAGGCCGAGGCCCATAAGAATCATAAAATAGCATAAGCACACTATGGTCGACCGTAGGATGTGTTACTCAAGGAGGATGTTTCTTAGCAAATAGTATGACCACTCTGAGGGAGGCTCTGACGCAACCATACCATAGGTTTATTTGATGAATTTGAAGCTGACCCCACCAATGGCTTGGTTGTTTTCTACGTGAGGTGAATCGGTGAAACCCACAATCCCAGTTTCAAGCCCACGCAAAACCTGATCTGGTGAGGAGTCCTCCAGAGTTAAGTCGTATGGTTGGGTAAACTAGCCAAAATTACAACGTAACGATGGGATGACCATCACTTTACAAGCACTATGAGGTTCATGACCAACTCTTCCTACAGGGTTGACAGAAGGAATTCACTGAGCTACATGGTAAACAATAAACATGCACATGTCTTGTTATTAGAAACAAGAGAACAAGAACTACTGACTTCCAGTTACAATTCCCTTGGCCTAGAATGCCTAAGGCTTGTCCTCGTCTGGTCCACCTTCTGAGAAAATGCCGCTTTGACCCCAATCCCGGGAAGCCGCTTTTCCCTCTCCACCCAAGAAAGGGCCGTCCGACAACAAACCCTCAAATGCTCCGGCCTCCACGATGCTGAGCTTCACGCCATTGCCCTTGGGCAAAGAGATCCAAGGCTTGTTCCCCTGAATCGGTCGCGCGGGTCACTCGTGGTAAGGACAGAAATAAACGCCCCCTAGTCACTCTCCCAGTCGCGCGGCGTTGGTGTTCGTCAAGACCAAGAGAATATATAATATAATGTATAGTTTTTGGGACCCTCAAGTTTCCTTCTGGAAAGTTGCTCCTCCAAAGCCACAACTTTCGGGGACCCTCAAGTTTTGTAGATTCTCATGCGAACGCAACAAAACAGCAACATGAGACACCCGACACGCTGGCGGGTGGGGACGGGTACAGGGTGTGACGATCTGAGACGTGCAACGTGGGAAAAAACCGTTGCGACCCCTCAGTCCACTTCCGGGAACAAGAAGCGAGCTAAACCTGGCCTGGCCGATGACAAAGACGTTCTCCAAACGAGTGTTGAATTGGTGTCCGGCTGAGTCCTGAAAATGAGGTCCGGTGTCTGCCTTACCTCGATGGTGAGAAAGGGGAGGGGGAAAAACAACAATCCGTCATTCGTCAAACCTCTTCCTCGATACAGTAGATGTTGGATGATGCTGGTTACTTCGAGTCTCTGGCAACTTTCTATTCCTTGTGACCAACCTGGAGAACGTCCTTGATGTGCACCATCTCGAAGGACCCTGGATGCTTCTCCTCGTGGGTGATGGTGCCCACTCGGCCAATGTTGTTTCCACCGCCTGGGCGGTTTTTGGAGGACCCCGTTTGAGATCGTTGGAATCAAACGGCAAGGCCTCTAATAAGGTCTTTCCATTGTTCCTCTTCCCAAAAGATCAACAAACAAAACATACAAAATCATACAAGTAGCACAACACATCAAGCCATAAATATATCATATTATTGCTTGAGCTGCAGTGACAAAAAGTCAAAAACTAACTAAAAACAAGTAAATAGCACGTTTCTCTATGGTGGCTTTGGGGGACTGCCCTCCCATACTCTCAAAACCAACCTGGTAGCTCAAATCCCCTCCCATCCCTTATCAAAAAATGTCAAAAAGATCTCCAACGATGGCATCTCAGTGGCTGATCATCACCAGATTTCCAGTCTCAAACTTCACATGGTCCAGGATCTTTCCGGTCTCCAGGTCCAACCGCAAGGTGTCGTGGGCCTCTCGAGAGTCCACGATGGAGACCGAAGCTCTCTTTGGCTTTTCTGTTGTGTCCAAGTCGTCTTGTAGATGTGTCATGTTCGTTAAATGCCATTCCTACGCTCTTCCTTTTGTGTTTCCGAGGGATCTTTCCACTGTGCTCTTCACAGACTTGGCTCTTTGTCCCCGTTCGATCCGCCCAACAAACAGCTAAAAGCAGCTGGGGACCAAAACCTGTGCAACTCATGTAGCCGGCATGTCACATATTCCTTTCACTTCCTTTAAGAGGTCACCAGAAGCACCGAGTGAAAGAAGAACCGAGTCGCCATGGCGACTCGCGACCCGCCTTGATGTCCGGATCCGGGTACCGCAAGGTGCGGCCGTCGTGGGTCACGGCGTAAGGCACGCCCTTGGGACCACGGGTGACGCGCTTCACGCGGCAAAGCTTGTAGTTGGCCTGGCAAAGCTTGTAGTTGCCAGAGACGGGGGTCGCTCCGGTGGGCTGAGAGACTTTTCGGAATAGATAGGAATAGGATGGAATAGGTGCCCCAAAGGGGCACAACCAAAAATGTTGAACTGCATTTTTTGACAAGAATAGCTGGGCAAGTCCAAAGACCTGAAACTTGTGATCATCTAGCAATTTGTTGATCATCGACCTGCAAGATATCTATTTATCCTTCGAAGGTCAGGCTTATTCCCACCAGAGTGGCCAGGGTGAGGCCAGCAAGAAACCTAACAAGATAGGGCTTAGCTCAAAAGGTTGTGTTCACTTCACCAGCTAGTGACAGCATGCTTAGGCACATATGGCACATATATAGCAAGTTCCCAGAGACCTGCATGCGGTCATGGTTGCCTCTTCCGCCCCTTCCCCTTGCTGTCCCTGTCCTGTCATGTCCTGTCCTGTGGGTCTCAAATAACCTCCGTGTTGGGCAAGAGATGAGCTCCTGAAGAGCTTCGCCATCTTTTGCTAAGCAATGCTTCTTACCATTCCAAAATGTTCCCAATTGATAACACAAATTCCATTACAGAGACCTTTTTAGGCCCCTCACTCTTCCCCCTGCTCTTTTTGCGGGATGTCTTGCCTCCTCCTTTGCCACCTTGTGCAGCACAAACCTCGTTTTCTCACGTTGCGTGACCAGGCTGGTTGAGTCCCATAAGGGTCACGGACGAAGGGTACCACGGTCACACCCAGAAAACCATGAAAACCAGGTCTCCACAAAAGGGCAGTGACCTTTCCATAGAGGTACGCGGTCTAGTAACTAGTAAGTATGTATACTGTGTGTATATGGTCGAGTTGATTAAAGTCAACAAACACATCACAGCATAACACAAAACAAAACATGGGATTTGGACATCCTCCATGTCATCAGTTGGACGTTGCCCTCAGTGAACCAAAATCGAAAAGACTGCGCTGGGCAGCGAAACTGGGGGAAGCCTTTCCTTCACCAGTCAGTAAGGAGCGACCCTTTCGCTTCCTCATACAATCTCAAACGAACCAAACACTTGCACTTTCCCACCAGCAGTCACCAGCACCCACCCGGCCTGCCCTTGGTGTTGTAGAGGAGGCGGAAGTTCTCCTTGGTCTTATCCTTAGCAAAAAGCACGGTCTCAGTGCTCTGCCAGCGGTGTGCGATGCCAGCGCAACACTCTGCGGCAGGGCAACAGGCGCATGGATACCTTTTTCTCATGCAAAGCCTCATTCTCTCAGAGTGAATCCATCAAACATGCTCAAATTCAGAATGACTGGCCTCAAGCGGTCCATGAACCCTCTAGTGACTCTAGTCTTCGACCGAGTTGCACCATTGAATCTCTTTCTATTGGACATGTTGTCCAATTTGGTCGAGTCTAACAGGCTAACCTTCAGTCCGATGTCCTTTCCGAGTCTATCCGAGTCTATCCAAGCATCAATCTGGATGACATCCATGAAGCCGGCGGGGTAAAACATGTCGCATCGCACCTTCCCATCTACCTGCCCAGTCAAAGTATAGATTTATGAAACTGCAAGAGCAGCACACAATTTGAAACCATTCATAGGGCTAGGTACAGGCTGGCTAACTGACCAAGGCCAGAAGTGTGAGTGTGCTCCATCCAAGATAGTCGGGAGGACTTTGACAACATCAAAAGGGGACATCAGCTTTCAAGATTCCAAGACGTCTGTCCAGACTTCAAAGGCTCCAAACATCTCAAGCATTCTCAAGAGCTCTTAATCTGGCTTTGCTTGGTGAAGAACATATAACCACATCTCACAGTTTCTTGAATGTTCTCAGCAGATTGGTGTAAACGTTCGTTGAGCAATCATGAATTGATAGTCATTTAGTCCCCTCCAATATTACCATGAAGTTGCCTTTGCTGCCACAATATAATCTGTAAACAAAAATAAATACGCTGATGACCTGGAAATAGGGATTTCAGAAAAACAAAATATTGAATTAGTTTGAAATAGCAGTGAATTAGGCTTTGATTGATGGGGTTCTGCGTCTTGACGATGTCAAGCCTCCTCGTACTTGTTATCTGAACAAATAGGACAACCAGGGATAGTGATGTCAAATGCTGACTTGGCAAAGGCCTCAGTTATCCACACTAAGTCAAAAAAAACACCTTAGCAGCAGTGCCGGCCAATTTATATACAACGTTGTCCTTTTGTTGATGACTATTATACAATTGATACACCTCCTTTCCCTCGAACGGCACTGGTTGGTCGATCTCTTTGCCACACCCATCCTCTCTGCGCCTTGATCAGACGCTGCATGACAATCATCTTCACCTGAGGGGCAGTTGTCACACGCTGAGACTGGGGAACCACGCTGAGACTGGGTGCTGCTGTTGCTGATGTGGAGTTGATGTTGTTTTGTTCAATGTGAACGTCTCTTGGTCAAAGGCAAAAATCAAGGGATCATAGGATTATATGTGTCATTATATATATATATATATGTCATAGGTGTTGGACATATCGTCCATCTTCTGCCATACCCAATCTGCTGGTTCTCACAGGAAAACATGAAGAACGTACCAGACCGAAGCCATCGCAGGAAGAGTTTCATGTCCTTGAGACAACTTGAGTCATCCTTTTAAACTTGGCTCCTCCACACACCGAGAAAGGTCCCAAAACCACCCGCCTCACGGTAGGTGAGGGCATATTTCAGCCTCTGTCGCAGCATCACCTTGGTCCAAGAAGGTGAATCATCAGAGTTGCATGTCACTGGGAAAAGGTCCGGCTTCGGGCTATGTGCCGTTGATAGCTTCTTATGGTTTCAGTATGTTTGTCCTTTTGGATTCCGCACAAATGCAGTGTCTATTCAAGAATCATGTTGACCTGGGACCTCAAATATGGGACATTGGAACAACCAGTTGAACAGTAGCCTAGCCCAGGACCTAGCCCAGTACATCGGTGTCACATTGGCCAGCACGTCTACGAAGGACAGGTGGTCGGAGGTCGAGTCAAACCTTCTCCCCAGCAAATGCTACGAGCAAATGCTCGTCCCCCAGTTGGAGGGAATTCACTGTTCATACCCGAACAACTCACATTGAACTGCCTGAAACCATAGTCACTAATACAGTTGAAACAGTCAAAACCAAGTCCCTCTTTAGGGGTGGAGTTCAAAATGAATCTCGGACAAGTAGTGGGGTACTGTATTGGAATGTTTCAGGAATCCCAAAGCTACTTGCCATGTAGTGAGTCATGAAAGGATGCTGTATGGGATATCCCAATGCAAAAAGTTCGTGGTAGGTAAACAGCTAAGAACCGATGTGAAACTCACAAACCATAAACATCCATAGACGCATCAATTATCTCATCAATTCAAACTTACAGTATATCCTTGTCTCGCATCATGCAGTCCATGCATCTGCCAAGTCTGCTTCCTGTCTTTCCATATCTTTCCATAAACCGTCCGAGTTACGATGAGAGGCAAGCACTCCCTGAGCTTATGAGGACCAGCATTGGGCTTGGGCGCCCATCGTCCCCTGGCCGATCCCATCCAGTTTCCCCCTTGCTGCACTCGCGTACAGCCATGCAAACAGGGATCATCTCATCATCACTTCTTTGAACATATTTGAACCCTGCCCACGTGTCCAGCGCGCCTCAACTTGTCCAGCATCCAGTGCTTGGGCGCATACATGCGCTTCAAGTGCTTGATGATACCACGCGCCATGATCTCCTGACGCCACAAGTGCCGATCCCCGGACCAGGATCCCATCAGAAACAAACATGTTTGTCGTGTGTTGGACGCAAACGACAAATCGGCAGAAACCTAGCATCTCGTGAACTTCATGTTCTTTGATTGGCCACAGTGCAGGAACTGAACTAGACCAATGATTGCACACCACCACAAACAAACCTAGCTAAAACATTCCACTATAATCTAGTATGTATTTGTAACCTTGTATATTCCTATATATATATGTATATTATGAACTATTATATTTTAGTAGTAGTTAGTCGTCTTAGCATCGGTGTTAGTGTGATTGTGTATTTTTACTTATAATTTTGATAGCAATGTTTGGATCCCAGAGGATCTCTTTCCAAGAACTTCCAGCACAGCCATGGACCATCTGCCGAGCTCACATGCTAAGTGTCAGGCCGGGGTCTGCGCTGCTCAGCTCGACGTGTGTTTGTTTCGTGGATGTTTCCCTGAACCCAAATGCAGCAGAGTTTGGCATGCACAACCAACTGGTCCAATGCTTTACTGAACGGTTGGATGTTCTTTGAAACTCCTCTACATCAATGTGATTCACTATCACCCGCATCGGGGGTTCGATGCAACTATGATTGCTGCAAGCAGCCCTCACAGAATCAATCCTCCGTGACAAGTCTAGTGCTTTGTTCATGGACATCTCATTTTTCGTTCGCACATCCTCGGCCATCCGCCTGTGGGTGCTAAAATAGGAAGAGTCCGAGAATCCATCAATAGACATCTAGATCTTTGGACATTCTTGGTGGTTCGTCCTGTTTGTTTGTTCCCCAAGCATTGAGACGTCTTCCCATTGGAACAACACCCACCGGTGTTCGACGACATCACCCGGCTGTGGAGCGGCCGGTGGAGCTTCAATTCGCTGTGAAATCTCGAAGTCCCAAAGTGACAGACCGTTGGAGCCCTTTTGGATCTTCAGGGTGCTCGTTTGGAACCATCAGGGGAGGCGAGATGCGTGCACGCTCCAAAAGATGAAGTGATGGTCCATGATGGTAGCTTTCACAAAGCTTTAACTAATTAAATTAACTATGTATATATATTGTATTATATTATACTATATTCTATAAGTTGCTTGAAGCCTGGGTCCATGCGAGTCCAAAACCACAATCCACGAGTTGGGGGCAGTGCCCGACAGGCAGTTTTAGTACGAAACTGCCGACCGAGAGAACACCAAGGTTCGGCGATGTCAGCAATCAAACCGTGAGCTGAATCCATGTGACGGATGGTGAGCATCGACCAGTAAAGTACTCACACGTCACACGTCCATTCCCAACTAACCCAAAAATAGTCAGTTGCACAAGTTGCACAAACATCTGAGCGATCCGTTGTTACCCGTTCATAGCCAAAGGCTAGAAGCCTTCGGTCACCTACAGTCCACAGTGGTGGGCAAGCTTGCTGTTCAGTGGTAGCTGACACATCTGTCCAAAGGCTAGAAGTACAATGGTTTAAGACCGAACATATTTAGTACAAGAACAAAAGCTTGTGGGCAAAAGGTCTCCATGGCAAGTGTCAGACTCTTCTTCGCACACCAGGGGAACTGTACACAAACCACTGACACAAGTTGCACTTCCGGTTTGTTCATGTATTAAACGACCTCAAACCTCTTACAGTGAACAAAACGTCCACCGCCCGGACAAAAAAAGAAGCTGCACATCTGATGTGCGAAGGAACCACAAAGGGTGATGTATCCATCAAAACTCCACGAGTTTCAAACTGAATATCCAAATATCCAATGGGTAGCAAAAGGTAGCAACCAGTCTTCGGAGTGGATGGGGTCGCAAGTCGTATACTTGATAAAATCACATCCTGCTTGTTTTGCTAACAGAGCGTGCTATGGTGGGAGTGACCTTTAAAACAAATAGCACTGCTCAATAGAGAGCCTGTAATTTAGGTTTGGGTCAAATCACTGCTCGACAAAAACGGCTATTTGGTCTAATCTTGATCATCTGGTCATGTTCTGAGAATCTTGAAAGCCCGTTCTTCATCTTCTTCGCTCCGCCATCGCCGAAGGAAGCTGGACGAAGTTCCACCGATCGCCTGAGCCACCGAGGCCGCAACACGCGAGGCCCCCCTGTGGCCATGCAATTCCTACCTACGGCGTGCCCTTCAGCTGCCGAAGAACGACCCTGCATCGCTGGGAGATCGTTGGACAGGGAGATGGACTTGCTTGGCAAAGGATGAGCTTCATAGCTTTGGCTGTGAGCCTTCAATTATGAGACCAACCCCACCCTTTGTTTTGACAGTCTACTTGCACTGACCCAAATAACTAAACTACATTGTTACATGGCTGAAAATGTTTTGGTCTGCACCACATCAATCTAAGCTATACTTTTGCTTGTTCCTTCATAATATCGCCCTGAGCCAACTTGGGCAGCAATCTGTAGGTCTTCCAGCAACACTGAGGGTAAAGCGAAAACAGTGATGAAATGGTTTACAAATGTTTATTAATATAGGTTACTGCTATCATTAATACAGTAATGTGTGTATATACATTGATGCGTGGTGATATAATTAAATAGTTATATATATATATGTGTATTAAACACCATATCAAATAGACACAATGTATTATACATTATCATACAATTGTACATACACTGTGGCAAATTTAATCTTCCACACCCAAACACAAAGTCTCTAACAAACCTCATCCCGACTCGGGGCAAACAAAATCAACTAACATAGTTATATACATCTTACCGAATGTGATGTCAAACCTCAACCGGATATGCAAATGCACTGATAGATTCCCTATCCTCCCCTACTTGGAGAGGCAACTCCAAAGTAAGCGGGAGGTCAAGTGCAAATCTGATCAAACAATCAACTTTATACAAACCTATGTTTATCTACATTCACCTCCATGGGCAGGGAAATCAAACTAAACACGGCAAACCCTTTGCCACCGCTTCAAGTCTGACATCCGAAGGCCATTGCACCCAAAAAACACAAACACGTTTGAGTCTTCCATAGTCTTCCCCCTGTTGGGAGGCCAACTTTTCCCTGAGTGCCACCCACCCATGATGGGCGGAACCTCCGGAACCTCCCGAACCTGACCACCCGCACGGAACCGCCTGAACTGCCCGCGCTTTGCTCGCTTGGACCGGGAGCACCGCCTAAAGCGGCTGATCCAGCCCTAGGATCCCCTTGGCCAAGAGCAAGCGATGCCCCGCGGAGGTCACGCCCAAGGCCTTCCGTCACTTGGGGGCCAAAAACGGGTGGGAGCGGGGGAGCTTGGGCCAAGGTTGGGTGGGAATTTGGGGTCCTGGTGGTGGCCTAAGCTATATTGCCATTGGAGGATGATCAGTCGTGGTTGATCTCCAACCGGGTATCGAAGGAGGTTCCATGTCGACCGATACGGGCAAAGCAGGCACATGGTGTTCGAACTACCCCTCAATAAAGCCTCTCAATGTGCCTGCAAAATGGGGAGGCTGATCTCTCCCCGCTGGGCTTAGTCTGTCTGTTCAAGCAAGGGGAATTGCTAGGGACATCTGGGGACCCCACAATGAAGAAGTCAAAAGCCCACATCTGGAACCCTCGAAACAAGGGTCACCTGCTGGAAATCTGAGTTCATCTGTGGTCTCCCAGAGGGTTTGGGAGATGATATTCTGAATATGCACAGCAACAAGCAACGATATGCCATTCCGATATTGAACATAATGTCCTTGTTTCCCAACAATATACTCATATTATGTCGGTCCGTCTCATGACATTACACAAAAAAAAATATGTAGGAAGAAAACCATTCAGTCTCATGAAGGCCAGCAGGGTAGAATAAACAACGATGGGAGAGATTGGCTATACAAGCTGTTGAACCAAATCATTTCAAACGTCACGATGGAACATGGTAGCATTCAAACACTGTCTAAATCACTTATTGAGAAGGTGGTGAATAAATCACCGTCAAGGTTGTACTTCAAGCAACTTCTGCAAACCCAAATCTTGAGTCGAGGGTTCCAGTCTGGCTCTTGATGATTCATATTCATGCATTTCTCTTGACACTAATGCAACGCTTGCAACCACGGTCTGGTTGCTGCCATCCAACCCCAACCCCCTTGCCGGTGCGCCTCAAAGAAGGAGGGCTCTAGGTGGCCCAGTGCGCCAGGCGAGAGCGGCTTTTCCAGCCTAGCGGAGGAAGGATGAGATCGGTACAGCTGCCAATCTATTAATCTACAGTATTTGTTTTCGCATGGTTCAGATTGCTTCAGGTAGAGCAAACAAATAGTTTGCTTATAGTACATCATTAGCACATTGGCGATAGGAAGAATCAAGTCGGCTTGGAACTTTTGCTCTCATATTATATTATATACTGAAACAAAATAACATGCAAGTTGGGTTCAGGGTTCTACGGCTCTTGCTTTGCTCACTTGCGTTGCATTCATCGTGTGGTCCTTTGGATGGCCCACGCCTGGCCGCTGCCAGCTGTGCAAAGTCGCAATCAAACTCATCCCTGGCGGTTTTGCGCCGGGCGGATGGCCGGATTAAGGTTTGGTTTCTTGGAAGAAAGAGTGGAAAATATGGCCTAACTTGTATATACTTATATCCCTTTGTGGGCATATGTAGTAAACATACGTCCTTTTGTTGGTGATGCATGCCCAGCCGATGAGCCATATTTGCAACCCCTGCAGAGTTCGGAACGGGGCGGAACAGGGCACCAAGTGAATGCTAGCGGTGAGCATCTGTATCCTATTCCTTTGTGGGCCATCTCCACATCAAAACATTAGCTGGGCTTCGGCTGAACTTTCAAGCTTTCTTCAGATTGTAATCATCAAGTCTGAAGTAGATGAACCTCATGGAATATGGAGCCCGCTGCAAAGATTGTTCAAGATCCAATACAATTCCCGAAGAAACCTGCCATTTTCCCGACACCCATGGCAGTAGTCCATTGTCATGAGTCATTCTGCTTCCAAACGCTTTACCCCGAAGGGTATCGGTCACTGCGACGAGGCAACCCGGACCTCATCACCGGGAAATACCGTAGCCTCAGCGCAGCAACTCCATAGGGAGATGATGGCGGGGCAGCTACACAGCTATATCTATACACCCGATGCAATGGGTGTGATGGTGCACCTCCCATTGAGCAAATAGCGTGCAAATGCCGTTCTTGTCACTTCAAATGACTAAGAAATAACATGAAGCATCATGAAGCAACATAGCGAGCAGCAAACATCACCAGCCAAGGCTTTTGTGGAATGTTCAATCACCGGCCAAGCACGCTGTTTGGAATCGACGCTGAATCCAATCATGACGCCCAGTGACAAGGATCCACGGCCACCATCGAGGCCTTTCAGCCAGGCCCAAGCAGCCTTCTCATGTTCGCCTGGCAGCCATTGCGTCGTGGCTTGCCCCCCCACCACAAACACGGTGGTCACAGCGTGTGAATCGACTCGACTGATCGATTTCATGTTGTTTGTGCATGTCCACGTGCACGACCATCAGAATAGC